TTGTCTTCAATCATTTGTTTGGCAGGTGTTTGCTAAACACCCCCTTCTTTTTTTTTTTTTTTTTTTTTTTTGTCTTCAATCATTTGTTTGGCAGGTGTTTGCTAAACACCCCCTTCTTTTTTTTTTTCTTTATTTTTTTTGTCTTTTGTCTTTTTTCCGTGTCCGGCAACGGATCGCAACCCTCAGTGTTGCCCCCGCACCGGACCGGGGACCGGCCATGGGATCGCAACCCTCGGTGTTGCTCCCGCGCCTCGCTCAGCCAGTGAGCGGGCACCGGTCTGTATGTGGGATCCGAACCCTCGGGCGGGAGCGCCGCCGCGCTTCCGAAGCGGCGCACTTATCCAGTGCGCCACCGGGCCGGCCCCTAAACCCCCCCTTCTAAGTGCCTTGCACCCAGATGTTTTGGGCCACAGAGGTGAATCTACCCATGGGGAGCCCCCCACTTGGGGGAATAAGAGACGTGTTTGATCCGCCTGTCTGGCTAACCATCTCTCCTCTGCTTCTCTGCTATGTGTGCCATGCAGGTGTCAGAGCCAGTGGGAGACTTGCAGCCCAGCTACTACCCACCCCCTCCGCCGCCGCAGCCCCAGGTCCTGCCGCCAGGCTTCCTCTCTGCGCTCCACTTCCTCCCACCGCCGCCGCCGCCGCCATCGCCACCATCTTTCTCGCTGACCATCCTGTCTGATACGGACAAGGAGAATGCTGGTAAGCACGCACCAGACCTCCAGCTTCTGGGAGAGCCAGGAAGACTTTCTAGAGGAAGAGGGGCCTAATCCGAAGTGGGTGTGGAGAGACGGGACTTGGAGCACAGAATGTAAAATGTGCTGGGTCCTAGGATAAGCTCTTACACCCCTCCCCCAAATTCCATAAGCAAGCATCTAAGGGAGGTGGCAGTGGGATACTCAGGTGAGGACACTGAGGCCCTGAGAAGTTCTTGTAGGTGTAAATGGAAGAGCTGAGATTTGAACAGAGTTCTCTGGCACCAAGTCCATTGCTAGTTTCTGTACCTTATCAGAGCCATGGGCAAAAGTGTGGAGGGTGGCATGCATGGGGTGTGTTCAGAAGATGAGAGAGGTGCCAGGCCTCTCTGCTCAGGGAATCAGCAGAGGCTGAGCCTAGAGCAACATCTCCAGGAGACAGTTTGGGGGTGGTGGGGCTGGTGGGGCTGCTTTCTCTGCCCCCAAGCCACTCTGGGGGAGACAGCCAGACCCGAAACCAGGACCCTGTCCTTTACAGATCTGTCACTGGTACACTGGGTGTTCTTGGGCACTCATGCTTCAGTCTTCTCATGTGTAACATGGGCCTCCTCATAGGGTTACTGGTAGGGTCGACTGGATGTGAATTTTGGACGTAAAAATGCTTTTGGGTTTTCTTTCAAGGGCTCTTGCAGCTTTAAAGGTTCTGGAATTTTTTTCCCTTTCAATCCTCACCTGAGGCTCCTGTGATTTGGAAAGGGCTGGCAAACTCAACAAGGCCTTTAAGATAACTGTCAGAATAATCTTATGAGCTAGCTAAATGTGGTGATACCGTCTCCATTGTACCGAAGCAGAAGTTGAGGCCGCTTGCACACTTGCTGTGTATGCGATGCCTAGACCCGTTAGCTGGACAGGTGGTATAGCGTGACAAGCACACTGGCCCTTGTGCTGGGTGGCCTGGGAATGAGTCCTGGCCCAGCACTTACCAGCAGTGTAACCTTGGGCAAGCTGATCCATTCCTTGGTACCTCAGTTTCAACGTCTGCAAAACCGACTAATAATGGACTAATAACGGTCCCTACCTCAAGAGGTTATTGTCAGGATGAAACAGAACCTGAAGAAGGCATTAGTGAGAGTTGGCTGTCACGTGTTGTTTTGCCTAGTCCCTGCACTGCCATTGCAAGGTAGGTGTCATCTCATTTTACAGAAGGGGAAGCTGAGGTTCTGAGCTGTGGAGTATCTTCCTTAATGGCACGCAGCTTGTGGGGAGCAGAGCTGAAGTTGGAACTTGAGTCTGCATCATGTGGTCAGGGCTAGAATTCCAGTCTCCTGAAGGCTAGCAAATTCGAGGCAAATTCATTATTCCTAGGGGCTGGGAATGATGAAGCCTGGTAGAAAATCTGCATCCAAAAACAGGTAATCTGTCCTCTTTCTAAATCCAGCCACCTTCTTTGTCATTCACAGATGACCAGAATGCAGAGGTGCTGCGTGAGCCCAGCCAGCCATCTTCTCAGGAGCAGTCCAAATAAGCCCCAGGCCCACCCCCTAGGCCAGCAGAGTGGGGCTTTGGGGTGTGATAGCAACGATTTTCTTATCTGTGTTCAGTGATGTGTAGGGAGGAAGGATATTGATAGGCGTAAGGTAGCAGCTAATTCTCATTTCAAGATAGAAGAGAGGAGGGTGATTTCAAGGTTCTCTCAGTCCTGAACTGTGGGATTGAAGAGGATCGTGGAGGAAGATATTACCAGGGGAGGGCCAGGGCTCTGAGGAGGGAGGGCTGGTGGAAGCTCACGTTTAGGAATGAATTTAACTCTCCCTGGGTTGTGCCACCATTTATCCAACTAACCCTTAGAGGCGGTCTTTGATTTCCTCAGGCCCCGCTCCAGGACAGGAGGCACCATCTATTTCAGCCTTCTGCTGCCTTTCCTGGTCTCCAGGGGGATGGGAGCCACAGACATCAAGCCTCCAGCCCATCCAGGAGGCTGGGGTGAGCAGCCAGGACCAGGGTGCTGACAGCAGGTTCTGCAGCGCCCTGCCTCACGGCTCTCTCTCCCACCGGCTTCCTGGCCACTTCCCCACGCCCCTTCTCCAGGGGGTATTACTAGTAAGCATCCTGACTACGGAGGCTACTTCTCTTCCCCTCCATAAAGTTTAAGCCATTATAGGCATCATTTCTGTTTTAAAGAATCTATTAAAGTTTGATCATTTGATGTTTTTATGGTGATTGCCAACTTTAAAAAGTAGGCTGTTCATAAGCACTGATGCTTATGCACTATTCCCAGAGAATAGAATGGTGTTTCCAAATCACCTGTGACATCAGCAGTTTCTTCTCTGGGGACAGTTGACTTGAAATAAAATGAGCAATGCAAATCCTTGTGGAAGTTTTTTTCTCTTTAATCCTTGTGGAAGGCAACACTGGGCAGGAGCCTGGGTAGGGGAGTTAGGCCTGGGTTGGTGGCCTGTCGCCAGTCTCTACTATGCACTTGCTTAGGCAAGTCCCTCCCTGTTCTACCTCCCACCTTCCTTTACCTTAGTTGTCAAGTGAGAAGGCTGGGCCAGGCTAGGAGATTTTCCTTTACTACTATTTTTATTTTAACCAGTGGAGACATTCTAAGGAACACCGAGGCAGACACACAAACTATAAAGATTTCTTTTAGTTTGCCTTCTTTGGCTCCTTTCATGGTTTCTGCAGAGAGACACGGTTTTAAAAAACAGAACTTGATCTCATTCTGCTGTTTTAGGGTCATGGGCTTCTCCTTGATTTCATGTTCCTTCATTTAAAAAACAGTGTCTCAACTGGATTCAGAACCTGGCAATCCCCAGCTCTGCCCATGAGGAGCTAGGAATGTAGTGGGAGAAACAAATAGTCCAGTTGGATTGGTACCAGAATGGAGAGGTTAGAGGGGCTTTGGGGGTGGTTGGAAAAAGCCTTCTGGAGGAGTCGGACCTCAGCCTTGTCTTACAGGGCAGAAGTGAGTTAGGTGCTCCCAGCAGGGATGCAGAAGAGGGTAGAGGACCTGGTGTGATGGATTCCAGGGTGAGGGGCAGCATCCTATTCTCTGTCCAGGGAAGGGCTGGCACCCAGAAGAACAGTCTGACCTACTTCCTTTCTCACCTGTGGGCAGGGGTGTCCAAGCGTCCTCCTAGGTCCTAAAACAGGTGACAGGAGAATCATTGAGAAATGATATCCTGAGTATTCTCTCAACATCAGTGGGATGGCTGAAGGTCCAAGGCCTGAACTCACTGTGTTGGGAGGCACTGGAACAGGCACCGTCATGGGAATTTTTCAGTTATTGCTTATAGATGCAAAGTGCTTTCAGCAGGGCAGTCAGGCATGTGAGGCCCAAGGCCTGCAGGTCAGCACTGGCTTCAGCCTGGACCTGATGATGCAGTGATTTTGGATTAGTCTGGCTTGGAGGTGGAATCTATCAGTTACCCCAGCACTGGTCCTGTCTCTGGGTCCACAGTTCACAGGAAAGACCTACCTTCTGGTTTTACTTGGCCTCAGTCACCCTGAGGCTTTGTCTTAAAGGGCAGAAGTGAGTTAGGTGTTAGGGTTAGGGTTAACCCTAACTGGACCCTGACCAGTCAGTATAGCAAGGGGGTGCTGGATCAGTAACACACACTCTAAGTTTTAATCACACTCTAAATTTTATCTTAGACTCCACATTTTGGAAGATTTTTTAGCCAAGATGTATTAAACAATAAAACTTCTCATTTCTCATCAGCATACACAGAAAAGTATGAGACAGTCTTGTGACCACATGGCCACTACATTATTTCAGACCAATGCAAGGAAACAGGTTGTTCAGTTAGCCTGTGGGGTTTGAGATGGGGCACCTTTGGCCTTCGGAGAAGAGCTATGTATGTCCTGTTGTCCTGTTGTAGGGATCCACACCCAAGGGACTCCAGCAAGGGGAGGATTTGTCAGTTCTCCCATAGGACCATGATCTGGTGAAAGATGTTTTAGCACCTTTCCTGGGGCCTTGGGTGTGCCTTCTGGGGTGAAAAGACCAACTGTGGGGTGCGGCCCGTCCCAATGCTGCCCCCTCGCCTTCTGGTTTTCAGTGTTGGAGGCCTTCCGCCTTCTCTTCCCCCTGGTGTGAACCCCAAATTGTGAGAGCCCCCAGCCTGTCCTTTCCCGTTCTGTGGGTTCTCACCATGCTTACCCGGGTGGGTCAGTAGACGCCTGATGTCTGTGGCCTTTGCAGTCCGTCCAATCCATTTTTTTTAATGCCGCGCTCCTTCAGTTTGTCAGTCCTACAACATTAACAGTATAAACACTGAAAAAAACAGACCTGCTCATATCGTTGCCCTGTTCACAAGCCTTCTGTGGCTCCCTACTGCTCTTACAATAAGGAATAACCTCTAACTGGCACACCTCTCCTGCCTCGACCTCACTCGCTGGCCCAACCCAGGTCCTGGAGGCGGTGGGGTCAGCCAGGTCCAGGCAGAAAAGGATGGAAAGCGGAGAGACTGGAGGTCAGGTGCAACACTGGTTCATCACAAACTGCTGTTTGGCATGGAGAATATTCTGGAAGGCAGCCGGCCATCATTCCCTGACGCCGGATGCACCGGCAGGGCGCCGCCAGGAGGGGACGCGCGGACAGCAGCTGCAGGCAGGGCGGGTGAAGGCGGGGCCGCCGCGGGAGCGGAGCCTGTTGCCTAGCGACCGGCCTCCGCCGAAGAGCCCGCGGGCAGATCCCTGGGTCTAGGCCCTGTTGCCGCATCTGGGCCAGCCGGGCTGCAAGAATAGATTTCTGCAGCGCTGGGCTTGAAGCGCCCCCTGGAGATTTGGGATTTCCCTGGGAAATCAAAATTATGAGCCTGTAGGATGGGCTATGTGATGCCAACCTCTCAGCAAATCATTTTTACGCAGCCCAGCTTGTGAAATCGATGCCCTCCTAGCTTCCTCTTCAGGCACCATCCCCAGTCCCAGCCTCTGTGTCCCGAAGCATAATCCCCTGCTTGCTTTCCCTCCTGCACTTTTGCGCATGGGGAATCCTCTGTCTAGTCTCCTCCCAGCTTCAACTAGTCATCTGTGATCCTTTCAGACTTGGTTCCAGCGCCCGCTTCTCCAGGAAAAGATCTCTGAAGTCCTCAGCCTGAATTAGAAGGCTTTTTTATGGCTGACCCAGCCCTCTGCAGCCCTATATCATGCTGGTGATCGCACTGAGTAATGTTGTCAATCTCGCAAGTCTGTGAGCTTCCTGGAGGCAGGGACAAGGTCTCATTTGTCTCATGTCCTCACCTCCCAGTGTGGGGCATGGCATTGGTTAGCTCAGTAGTTACCAGTGCCTGTGACAAAGTGAATGGATGAATTTCCAGGCATCTGGTGGACTTTGGGGTGGAGAGTTGAGCTGTCCTGCCCTTGGCCGCCCACTGCAGCGTCTTTTGCCTTACATTTTTGCTCTATCTGCTGAGACCTTGCACAGAAGTCAGAGGAACAGAGAATCAGCCTTCATTGAAACTATACTGTGTGCCCAATCCTGCACTCCTTCCCTCATTTAATCCTCACCACAACCCATGCAATAGGTCCTTATCATCCCTATCTCATAAAAGAAAAGCATAGAGAGGGATGGTGATTTTGCCAAAGTCACATAGTTTGTCGGTGGCAGAGTGCCAAGTAGAAGTGTGGCCTTAGGTGTGTAGAGGGCAACATACACCCCTGGGTGCCAGTTGCAGAATTTTTTTTTTTTTCCCAGATTGTTTATTTTTTATTTATTTATTTTTTTTGTTAAATTTTTATTTTGTCAATATACACTGTATATGATTATTATGGCCCATCACCGACACCTCCCAGTTGCAGAATTTTTAATATTGGTTCTGCCCTGAGTTACCATCCTGAGATTTTTTTTGAACACAGAACTCATGAATGCACCTGGTTTCTGAGAATATTCTAGCACAGCATGGGGAGAGCAGCCCAAGGACATTTGCCTCCTGGCACACTGCTCACTGCACTGCCCATAGCACACAAGGCCGCCTGCGAGGATCCTGAAGTTGGCATCATGGTGAGTCGGTGGGAAGAGCCCTTAGGGTCTCAGGTATAACCTCCCGCTAAGCCAGAAGGTGGTCCCGTTGCCTGAGCTTCCCCTGTGGCCTGGGGTTCTTCATGAGCCCCAGTGGATGAGCTAAGAAAGATTGGCAGAGTGCTTGTATTTGTAACCAGGGTGGAGCAGAGTGGTGGTGGGTATCTTTTAAGGCTGCACCTCTGGATTTTGGTCCCCTAAGCCCCACTGGAGAGAAGCCCTCCCACCATGAGGTTCCCAGTTCTTCTGGAGAGTGGGGTGGGGATAATCTGCACCCTTTTGGAGAAAAAAATGCACCCCTCTGGGCCTAGAGCCTGGGATGAGGTCTTCTCCCTGCAGCCCTGGGGATTCTCACAGCTCCTTCTGCTCCTGGGCACTATGATCCTGCGGGGCCTAAGCCTACGCCCCTCTTACTGGGGAGCTGCTCAGAGACCTTAGAATGAGCCAAGGCCTCCTCTCCTGAGCCAAGGCCCAGAGTCCTTGGACCCCACTCTTTCTCCTTGCCCCTTCCTAGCTGTGTGCTCTTGGGCACAGGAAACCTCTGCAAGCCTCCCTTTGCCTCCTTGGTTCAGGAGTGTCCTGAGGATGCAGGAGCTCTTGTATGAAATACCTCCTCTGATGCCACCTCTTTGTGCACAGTATATGCACCTGTGTCGTTAGGTGATTGAAGGCTGTGTCTTTTTTAAGACTATGTCAGGAGGCTAGGACTCACAAAGGCCACCACCTGTGGTTCCCCACATGCAAGGCACTGTGCTGACCGCTTTCCATAAATTCTCTGGGAATCCTCACAGTGACCCCTCAAGACAGGCACTACAGTGCCTCATCTTACAGATGGGAAAACTGAGGCCTACAGAGGTTAGGTTCCTGTCCTTGGTCACACTGTCAATAAGTGGCAGAGCTGGGAATAAATTCAAGCCCCCCCCCCAAGTCCAGAGCTAAGTTCCTAACCACACTGTGCTCTCCTGCCTCTCAGAGAGGGGGAGTTGTGAGTCTTGGGGAAGTGGGACCCCCCGCAGGACTTGCTGCCCAACTGCGGTCCACCCAGCCCAGCTGGGTTTCAATGGTGTGGACAGGCTGAGTACAAAGAACACCTAGCTCAGGTCTTACACAAGGAGTGAAATCATTTTTTCAAAAATTTCCAAATGCTTTAATTTTATTTTGAGAACAGTGAACAAAGAAAGCATGACATTGAGTTTTTAAAAACATGAATATTAATAGTATATTAAAACTTAAGATTTAACCCTCTCACAAGGTAGGAGGGAAGTTTTTCAGTATTAGTGCTTTACTCATGGTCATTTCTTCATCTTTCTCCACGCTTTCTGTTTGTTTT